CCCACGAGAGACCCCTACTAGAGACCCCCACGAGAGACCCCTACTAGAGACCCCCACGAGAGACCCCTGCGAGAAACCCCGTAACCGGTATGAGAAATTCCTCCAATTTGTAGCCATTGTGTCGGTAATGTCAGTTTCTTCTTTTAGTTAAAACCAATTTCAGTTTGTATTAAAAGTAGTTTAACAATACATTTAAAATTTTTTTGTTAATATCCGTGATATTGTTTTTGTAAATATTCAGTTAGAAACAAACCGTCATAGGAGTTAGACACAAATCATGGATTGGTGCGCCATCTATTCGGAAGACGCTGAAACTTCTAGCCTAATAGTACCAGTTTTTCTCCGCTAGATGATGCCAGCAATGGTGGCTAAGGAAAGACAAGGAAACATTCATGTAAGGGAGGAGGACAGACATGGTTGATTGGTTGCGCCTCCACCTAATGGAATCAAGCTGCTACTATTTGGCTAGTAGTTTCAGTGCTCCGGTAATAGGTGGCGCCACCTGGCGGAGACAAGCTGTTATTATTTGGCTGGAGGTTTCAAGGATTGCTGAATAGGTGGCACCTATGACACAACAAGGGTTTCTCACACCCACTTCAATAATCTTTCACGACGGTTTAAGGTGTTTCTCACACTGATTCTTCTTCTGTGACGCCACCAAGCCGGGATAAGTCAATGGAATTTTAAAAACTCACTTTTTTTAAAATTATTATGAATATGAACAATTAATTGTAACATTAAATTCATTGCATAAAACAAACGTTTAACTCTGTTCCGAATTGTAAAAAGGAAAAATAAAATCGTCACCACAACAGTTATACAAGAAATTATTTTGACTAATTATACTGTAATAGAAAATTCTTCGATAAATTATATAGACCAATAGTATGTTTTAATTAGTGAAATTTTGGCAAGTAATATTGAAGCTCAATATACATTTTTATAAAACTATAACACTTCTAACAAAATTGTTAAGCATTTAAGATTGAAATGTATAGCACATTATTAAGTATTATTTTGATCTTAGATGTAATGATTTTGCTTAAAACTGTGTAAATATAAATAAATAAATAAATAGAAAGCATGTTCTTTTACTTTTTTTGTCTGAATATTACATTTCTGTATATACTAGTAATTTCGTATGACATTTATCGGAACATTAAACAGAATTCGCAATTTTAAAGTGCGTAAAGTACATCCTCATCGTTTATCGCGCAATGAGTTTTTCTATTTAGAAAAAACAGAGCTGCTGTCCCATAGGAATTTCAAAAATTATTTTTCATGAAATGCAAAAAGCTAACGATTTATCTGAATTATGCACTAAACTAATGAACATATTAAAAAGTACACAAGTTAATACTCAAACTACCAGATTCCTGATGTCTTCTTTTTGCAATTATTGAAAAGACGATAAATATTTCCCTGAAAAATGATTAAACAGATTGATTTAATACGAAAATTGAATTATAAATCAATTAAAGTCAACAGATGCGCTCTTTGAATTTCTGTAAAGGAATTTCAAACAGTCAATTGAACTGATCGTTACTTTTTTTAGTGTGGGTGGAAATTCAATTCCACCGACCTCCCGTTCTACATCGAAATCTTATCTTTAACGCACTTATCGTTAACGCACTTATTGTTAACGCACTTAATTAAAATCTCACGACGGCTGTTTTCTTTTTTGGATCTGAAAAGTAGTATCCCACGGTGGACGATCGATGTCTTCTTTCGCAATCTTAATTCTAACTTAGTTTAGCTTAGCGGATAACTTAAATTATTACAATAATCGCAGTACAGGGAGTGAATCTAGGAAGAAGTCCTTGATTCGATCATCAGACGAATCAGAAAAGAAGTCTCTGATTCAGCAGGAGCAAAGTCAGGGGTTACAATCTTAATTCTAACTTAGTATAGCCTTAGAAAACTATACATGGGTCGCAGTTGGCGAACAATTATCGGACCAAAAAAGGACATAAATACAAAGCAAGAAAGAAGTCCTTGATTCGTTTGAAACTAAAGTAATCAGAGAAGAAGTCTCTGATTGAAAAGCAGCAAAATGAGGGTGACGCGAGTAATCCGCTGTGAACCCAGTCAGATCCACCGCGCTGAATCACGATGCCCTCGCCTACGGATCAGAGGACGGTCACGGGCCAGTGCCAGATTCCCATTAACTTCAGAATTCATAAGAATTCGAAGTAGGATTCCAACACTGACTGCCGCGATGGACGATGGCGCGAGCACCACCGCCCTACAGTGCGCACCACCGGTAACCTTTCAGCTCAGACACCGATCTCGAGCACGGCGGACCTGGCTGGTTTGACGAACGGCTGATCACTTGCACAACATGGCAACGTGAATCGGAATAAAGGGTGACAAGCGAATGAAGCTAAAGGATAATTGCTCGCCACGATTTTACATGGATCGTACAATGTCGCAGCCGATCGGCCCAGCATTATCCTCGATAGGAATTACTCTATCGGGGATAACGCTGGTTTCCAGGCCCACCACG